CTGCCCGAGCCGCCGGCTGCAGCTTACTCACCGCCGCGCGCTCCCCTCCGGGTGGGCCCGCCTCCAGCCCGAGGCCCGCCCGCCGCCGGGAACGCAGGGGGCGGTGGCCTGGGCCCCACCCAGTGGCGGCTCCGCCCCTAGGCGCCGACCCCCACAATGGGCGGGACACCTACTGCCCCTCCCTCCATGTTCCCTGTCACCTCTTCCTTCCCCAAGGCCATCCCTGAGAGCATCCCCTTTCTTTCAAAGAACTCCGGGGCAGTCCCTACAGTCCCCTCACTAGCCACAAACTAGCTCCTCCTCACATGACTTCCTCCATCATCATCATCCTCACCACCACCATCACCACCACGCTGTCCACTGCGAACTCTCCTCCCTCGAGAGGCCTGACACCTCCTTCTACCTTCTTGCCTCCTCACTTTTTGGCTTCAGCCGAATTCATTGCTACCAGTCAATTCCATCGGACAAAGTAGAACTGCCCACAGGATTTCCAAGGGTGTAAATCTTTAGGGAAGTAAACCACTGCATCTTTCTACCGCAGACCAGTTGGTGGGCTTGAACCGCTGACCTGTTGGTTAATAAACCCACTGCTGTGGAATTGACTCCCACTCAGAGCGACCCTTAAGGAGCTCTGGTTACGAATCGGGTTGCTAACCTCAGGGTCAGCAGTTTGAAACCAACTGTTCCGCGGGAGAAAGGTGAGGCTTTCTGCTCGCGTATAGATTTACAGCCTCGGAAACCTTGTGCAGGGTCACTAAGAGTTGGAACCGACTTCACGGCACATAACAACAACAACAGGGCGACCCTTAAGGACTGAATAGAACTGTCCCATAGGGTTTCTGAGGCTATAAATCTACAACACTGCCACACTGTTCTGCTGAAGAGCAGATGGTATTAGCAGTTGAGCGCTTTAACCACTGTGACACCAGGCTCCCCCTTTGGTGTAACCAAAAATAAAAACAAAGCCACTGCCATTCTGACTCACAACAAGCCTGTAACAGTGTTTCAGAAATTGTGAATCTCTACAGAAGCAAACAGCCTTGTCTTTCTCAGGAGAAAATTACCTATACTGCCTTCTCTGACCATCCCACCCTAAGGACTGAAGCTTTGGGAAGGCATTTTCCTTTTCCTCGGGTAGTTCCCTTGCAGACCCCCAGGACCCTGGAGTTGGCCTCACCCTTCCTCACTACTAGTGGTTCCCTCTTCTGCCAACCCCTTTCCCCAAAGCCTGTGAGGGAGGCTCCAGGTCAGCCCCTACCTGCTAGCCTCAGTCTTCTTGCCCACCAGTGATGTATTGAACACTCCCATGTCCCTACAGTCCTGGTGCTGTGGGTTAATGTGCTGGACTGTAACGTCGGTTTCAACCGCAAGGTAGGCAGTGCAAACTCACCAGCCACTCCTCAAGAAACCCAGTGTCCCTATGGGTCACTTAACAACAACAATCTCCCTACAGAGCCTGGCAGCCTAGAGAAATCTTCTCAAACCCCATGTTGTTGTTAAGCATTGTAGAGTCCATCTGTTCAGTCATAATGATTCTGCAGAGTGTGTTTGAACCACCGACATAGCTAGCAGTCCAGTGTTTATCTTACAGGACCATAGGAGGATTCCTAGAAATGTCTTCATACCCTGTGTAGCCTCAGGGACCTGCCCCACCCCACTGAGGCCCCTTGGTCTCCTTAGGCACTGACTACAGTGGGGGTGGGATGGCTTCCCAGGACCCACAGGAAGCAGGCCCCAGTCTGCACTGAGATGAGGGTCTTTAGGACACTTCCCATCAGGCCTCATTCTTCCCTCCCACCCCCACCCGGACTCCCACTCCTGTCCTTTGCTGCTCAGTCAGCTGACCCCTCCCATAGCACCTCTCCTGACTTTCCCCACAGATGAATCAGCCTTCCACTCACTCTGCCTGGGCAGTGACATCATTCCAACCAGCACTGCAGTTAGTTGGGGTGGGTCTGTGGCTCCACTCCCAAGGGAAGGACCAGGCTTTACTCACCTTTATCACCTCTCAGTGTGGGAAGTGAGGGAGGGGGAAGGAGAAGAAAAGGGGTGTTTGAGTCAAATGGACTCAGGCATGAATCCTACGTTTCCCACCCAGCCCTGTGATCCTGTGTCCCCATGAGCTTCACTTTCTGTCTTTGAAATGGGGATAATTCCTGCTTGAAAAGGTGGTTGAGTTCTGGTGTGGTACTGTAGGTAAGCACTGGACCGCATGATCAGTTTGAACAGCAAGGTCAACAGTTCCAATCCACCAGCCGCTTCTTAGAAACCCTATACAGTGTCAATATGAATTGGAACCCAATCAACAGCAAAAACAATAATCAAGGAGAGATACTGGCTTGGAGATTCCACCTCCTCAAAGGTCCTTGTCTGGAGTACAATTATGAACCAAGGCGTGGGGACCCCAGTGTGCCAACCCAGGCTAGCTCATGCCCCTTTCAGCTCAAGATAGAAGGTCACCATCTTGGCCCAGAATATGACCTTTCAGGCCATCTTGGAAGCCACTAACTGTCCAGCCCTCTTAGCCTCTTGTCAGCCCTAAACTGCCACCCACCTCCTATCCTGACCCTTGGGGAAAGTAATTGCAGGAATATAGGGACTTGGACTCAGGATTCTGAAATCAGGACTCTTTGAATAAACCCCAGGAGGGCTCATACACTTGTTCCACCAACCAAAGGGGCTTCCCTTCAGGTTCCTGAAGACAGTTCCAGGTCTGACCTTGATTCTGGTGGTGTAATGATAGTTTATTTGCACAACCCTTGGAGTCTCCATTAACCCATGTGTGGGATCTAGAACATAATGACCTAGGTCAGCTCTCAGCACACTGTGACCGCAGGCAGACAACTCACCCCCTCTTGAACTCCAATTTCCTACCTCATGAAGCAGAGATAATCATCTGCCCTGCCTGCATCTCAGCATTGTGGGGAGCAAAGTGAACCAGTAGACGTAAGGATGTGGTACAAACTGTAAATCCAGGTGGAAGGTGGGTCTTTGTTGACAGGTGAAGATAAGACACCACAGACAAACAGGAGAGCCAAGTCACCAGCCGACAATGATGCCACAACTTCAGAATTAAGGCTACGGGATTTGAGCCCCCTAATTCAGTGCTTTCCTGTTTTCCTTTTAAACTATCAATTAAAAAGTGGATATATTCTCCTTATCAAAAATTTTGAAATAAACCTAGATATTCTGGGTTAGTTACCTTAAGCCCAGTTCTCACTGTGGCAGGCATGGTTGGTGATTTGAAACTTAGCTTCCAGACTTTGTTCATGCATTCACATCTAAGTATGAATTTGATAAATATTTACTGAGCACCTGCTAGAGGCCAGCTCCTAGAGGTCCAGTGGACATAGGCCCCTGCCCTCACTAAACTAACATTCTAGTGGAAAATGAGCAAGTAAACAATTCAACTAGTAGAATTTCAGATGGTGAGAGAGGCTGGGAAGAAAACAAAGCAAGATGCCGAGATGGAGATTGATGAGGACAGTCTGGGGAGCTGAATGCCAAAAAGGAGCCAGCTGTCAAAACTCTTGAAGCCATGCTTCCAGGGAGAGGAGACAAGCAGGACAAAGCCCTAAGGGAGTAAGAGTTTGCTATTTACAACCAAGTACACAGACTAGTGTTGGGTGAGGTCTAAGAGCTGGGCAAAGGCAGAGACCCTGTGGGGACTTGTAGATCAAGGAGATGGCTTTGCTATCTGCTAGGCAGGAAGTCATTGTAGGGTCTTAGAAGAGTGATACAGTCTAATAAGTTATTAAAGGCTGTTTGGGGCAAATGGACTATGTAGGGGATAAGAGTAGATATAGAGATACCAGTATGGCATTCGCTGCAGGCATTAAGGCAAGAGATAATGGAGCCCTGGATCAGCGAAGAGCCAGATGGATGGCAGGGGGTGGACTGGACCAGGTTGTGGGAGGGGAAACAACAGAATTTGCTTTCTTTATATATGAAAGCTATGCCACAGGTATTTTAAATACCAGCAGGGTCACACATGATGGACAGGTTTCAGATGAGCTTCCAGACGAAGACAGACTAGGAAGGAGTGACAAACTACTTCGGAACATTTAGGCACTGAAAACCTATGAACAGAGAAACACTGTCAGATATAGTGCCGGAAAATGAGCCCCTCAGATTGGAAGGCACTCAACATGGGACTGGGAAAGGGCTGCTTCCTCAGGGTAGAATTGACCGTGATGATGCGAATGGAGTAAAGACCGTGGGAGAAGAGCCTATGGGACCTTCATCTGCTGATGAGGCGCAACTCAAAATGAAGAGAAACAGCTGTAAACATCCATTGAAAATCGGAACATGGACTATATGAAGTATAAATCTAGGTAAACTGGAAATTGCCCAAAATTAAATGGAACACATGAACATTGATACCGTAGGCATTGTTGTTGGTGTTGTTAGATGCCATCGAGTCGGCACCAACTCATAGCGACCTTATGCACAGCAGAACAAAACAATGTCCAATCCTGGGCCAACCTTGAGTCCATCGATGCTGCCACCTGGCCAATCCATCTTGTTGGGGGTCTT